TTAATTTTAATAGTAATTAATTTAGTTTAAATTTATTTAAATTCAATTTAAAATCTTCACGTATTATAATTGTATGATTGATGGTGTTACGAAAATTTTGTATTTTAATTCATAAACTTGGATTTATATAAAAAAATATTTCAGAATAAATTATTTGATATTATATATTTTACATAAACATGACCAGAGAAAATGTTTATCTTTTTTACTTATTTAATATCATATTCGTAATTACCAAAATTTCCCTCATGTTTGTTTTCGTCTTACATCGACCCCCTTACGGTACGATTATTCACGGAATTTTTTTTTATTACGTGAAATATTCCCCGAAAAATGCAGATTCTACCCTGCACAAGACATTTGTTTATGGTACTTTTTAAAGACAAAAATTACCCTGAGGGGGACTTTACACGAAATATTTATCTTCTTAAATAACATCGCTTCACAACTTTTTAGTATTACTATTATCTCGCCTAAGGCTAATTTTGTATTTACAAAGTAAGATAACAGAAATGTCACGTTTTTTGGATATTACATGGAATAAAAAAGATTCCGTAAACTGGGGGTACTTTCCGTAATTTAGCCTAAGTTCATGAGGAGTTTCGCAATTTATCCTATTAACAACGATTATCGTTCTTTTCACGTTTTAACGTGTGCTTATACCCTTATACAATTTTAAATAATTTTAATGTCAGCTTGATAATATAATTAAATATTAATTTCTAATATATTTAATATGTGTTTTTTATGTTTGTGGTACCACACATAAGGAATTTGATATAAAAGTTGCGAGATTGAAAAAAATGTTTTTATACAAAATAATAGATAATTGCAAACACATTGATGCAAAATCATAATTAGGATTGTGATTAGTATTAACATTAGAATTATGATTATAATTATTATTCTTTGAATTAGTATTAGTATTAATACTATAGTTAGGATTCAGATTAATATATTATTATAATTAATATTAGGATTAGGATTATCATTATGATTATGATTAATATTAGTAATTGAATTATAATTAAAATTATGATTATTGATTAGTACTACAATTAGTGACATGTATTCGTATTATAATTATGATTAGTATTAGGATTAGGATTATGGTTAGAATTAAAATTAGAATTATAATTAAAATTAACATTAGCATTAGCATTAGTATTATTAGTAATAAAATTATTAGGATTATAATTAATGTTAGAAATAGGTTTTGGATTAGAATTATGATTAAGATTAGAATCATGATTAGTGTTATGAATAGGATTAGGAATAGGATAAAATTTGGATAATATTAGTATTACAATTATAACCAGCATAAAGCAAATCCAGATTAACATTAACATTAAAATTAGTATTAGCATTAGAATATGTACATTAGCATTAACATTAACAATATTGACATATTAGTATTAAAATTAATATGAATATTAGGATTGGTATTAGTATTAGTATTAATATTAGTATTAGTATTAGTAATAGTATTAGTAATAGTATTAGTATTAATATTAGTATTAGTAATAGTATTAGTATTAATATTAGTGTTAATATTAGTTTTAATATTAGTATTAATATTAATATTAATATTAATATTAATATTAATATTAGTCTAAATATCAGTATCAATATCAATATCAGTATCGATATCATTCTCGGTATCGGCATTAGTATCGGCATCAGTATCGGTATCAGCATCGGCATCGGCATCGGTATCGATATCAGTATCGGTATTAATATTAGTATCAATATCAATATCATTATCATTATCATTATCAGTATCGGTATCAGTATCAATATCAGTATCATTATCATTATAAGTATCGGTATCAGTATCAATATCAGTTTCAGTTTTGTGCCGCACTTA